CATTTTTGTGCAGGCTAATGCTGATTAGCTGTGGTGGCCATCTTGAAATGTGTAGAGTCCAAAAGCAAATCAGTTTTAGATGTACAGAAAATGAAAACTTTCTGAAAGTTTCATTCACATCTGTCCAGTGATATTACACAGTTAACCCCAATAGATAAAACCAAAGTTTTGGGTAAGAATGTGTTGCGCTCAGAGTACATGTTGTGAATGACTGTCAGTTACTACCACACCAATAGTTAACTTTTTTTTTTGTAAAATGACCAAGTTGCAGACATTTTTGTGTGTTTGATAAGACTGCATTTGAGTTGTAGATGTACATCCAACTTTCTGATAGTGTTGAAAAGATATGATGTTAACGGTTCACACACACACACAGAGACATGGGCAAAAGTAATATCTCTATGAAAAAGGAAATTCTTCAGCATTTTTACAAACGACAGTCTTTTAAAAGCTCTGTGTTGTCCGGCTGTTTGTGTCTCTGTACTTCTGATGCATGAGGCCTGCAAGATCCCTCCTGCTACACACAGAGCTGTTTATGGAGAAACCAAATGTTCTTTAATGCTCCAGCTGGACTGGGATGACAAAGTGCCATCAATATGGAACATAAATCAGAAGAGCTACCCATCATCCTCTGTGGCATGGCTCCAACTCCATTTGTATATTTCTGACCTTGGAACACATAATTGTTAGTCATCATCATTTTGTCTGTGTGGTTTTCTTTGTATGTGTGTGTGTGTGTGTGTGTGTGTGTGTGTGTGAGTGTGCACTGCTTTCTGCTCCCAGTTGGTGAAGACTATGTTCAGTGTCATGGAAGACTTGGAGAGATATTAAATGAGGCTCGTATCATGCATCGCCTGCGCGTGCCTCATGCTCCCTCTGCACACTGTGACCATGGATAAAATATGAATTATCATACTGGCAGATGCAAATTTGGGCAACAACATAAACAAAATGCAAATATTAAAAATTCTTGCCAACTTGGGGGGGAGGGAAGAATTAGTAATTAAAAAGCAGACTTGTGTGTGCAATAATAGAAAAGCTACTTGTGAAATTTACTGTAACAAACAAAAATGCTAATTTATACAAAAGTAGTTAAATAATGAAAGGGTTTAGCTAATAAAGCAGGTAATATTAGGACCAAACTAAAGGACAAAACCTCTGAGGGCAGAGGGAACAGACTGAAGTGAAAGCCTTGGTCATACTCCTTAATATGAGCCACAGGCGGCGTCCCTGATGTGCTTCTCTGCTCCCATATGAACAAGAGCCAAGTGGAGAGAATGATGGATACATGAGAACACAGTGCCATGCAGTGATACTTCCCACGTTTCTGCACAAGGACCAGCATGTCCAGATGAAAAAATGCACGAGGGGTCTTTTATTGCTCTTTATTTTTGCTGTGTCACTAAACTCACACAACATTCAACATGTGCTGGTATTAACATCAGATAAATTTTAATGGAAAAAAGCCAGAATAATTTGCTCAGATAGAGAAAGCTCATTCTGTAACTGTCTGGTTTTCATCAGGACCAGGCTGATACGCTCAGGGAGGACAATGAGTCACACTCTGTGACTCAGTTTACCGTTCCGCATAAACAAACACTCCAACGTTGCACCTTTTAATAGCACAGCTTTTAATAATTAGACTCTCACTTGGCTCTTCGGGGTTTATCGATTTATTCATACGTCCCCACGGTCTTACAGATTCTAATCTTGGTCATGCATTAACGAGATAGTTCGGATAATTTCAAGTGAGGTTCGGCCTCTATTTGAACAATCCCAGGTTGGAGGAATAGAGTTTAATTCTGAGCAGACTGACGAGCTAGCAGCTAGTTCAAATTGGACCAAAACTAAAGTGGATTGAAATCCAATTAAAACAAATCCATTCACAAAACATTTTAGAGTTTGCGTGACTGCTATTTTAGAAAACTTTATGTCACTGTCAGTTTTGCATTGCATTGCTATTTAGAAGTGTATGGTAATTATGTGCACAATTATTGGTGGCAGCAGCTAGCAGTATCACCCCTTGTGTAATCTGGGGTACATTTAGCAGAAATATTATGTTTTGCGACAGATAATCATAAAAATCAAACTGAATGTGATCTAAAGGTATAAATATACATCATAGCATTTGTATAGTGTCACTATTTTGTTTTTCTGTTGTAATTTTAAGACAGCAACAATTTGCTTGGGAAGTGACCTCATTAGGACTGTATCTATGAGCTCCAGCAGGACCACGGCATTTAAAATGGACTTCTAGTATCTTTAAAACCTCTTTTAATGCTATTTCTTAATTTTTTGCAGCTTTGCATTGCAGTTATTTCTACTGTCCTAAGTTGCACTGCAATGCCACAGCTAGATGCTGTTCCCCTATTTGGCCCCCATCGTGGAGCAAAATGGAGGAATTGGAAATATTCTCCGTTTGTCAGATTGTTCATCCGTGCACATTGTGAGCATGATAACTTGAAAAGTAAGAGAGGTAAAGACGTCATTTTTGTTCTGTAGATGCATCCATCCATCCATTATCTTTACCCGCTTCTTCCTTTTCAAGTCATGGGGTTCACTGGTGTCCATGTCCAGCCATCATTTGAGCGAGAGGTGGGGGACACCCTGGACAGGTCTCCAGTCCATCACAGGGACACATAGAGACAAATGAGACAAACAACCATTCACTCTCTCACTCACACCTGGGGACAATTTAGCGTTACCAATCAGCCTAAGATGCATGTTTTTGGTCTCTGGGAGGAAACCGGAGCACCCGGAGGAAGCCCACGCATGCACGGAGAGAACATGCAAACTCCACCCAGAAAGGCTCCCAGACTGGGATTTGAACCAGGGCAACCTGCTCACTGAGAGGCAGCAGCTCTACCAACTGCGCCACCATGCAACCCTGGATCTAGGCATTCGTTTTTATATTTCTTAAAAGTGTAGTTTCCTCAAATGATTCAGGTGACTGGTGGTTGAAGATTAATTTATTGTGACCAAGGACACCATGGGCCACCCCCTAGCTCTGCCATTGCACCTAGTGGTGGACAAAATTACTTCCTGTACTTTCCAGGATCCATCACTCTGTGCCACCATGAAAAAAAATAAATAAATAAAATAAACTACCTCTATCCTTATAAACACTGTAATTCCTATTCACTTGAATATCTTTCAATAAAATCGTTAAGATTTAATTGCATTCCCTGTTCAGTTACAGTCTAGAAAAACACATTGCAAAAACTGAAAACTTTTATTATTCAAATTCTTTAGCTGCTGGAGACATTGGTGTATCACACCACATAACTCAGTGTAAATCATTTTATATTTTAAATCTGACTGCGGTGTAAACATTGATAAAAGAGAACTTGTGTAAATCACTGTAACATTTTTAAGCTCAAGTTGTTGGTTTTTTTTTTCATATTACAGCAAACCACCCTGATCTTGACTTGGCTTAGACTAGCATTACCTTGTCATTCTGGTCAGGATCAAATTTTATTCCTCCATTTAAAGAGTTATCTACAGCAGGTAAGATACTACTTGTGTGTAAGCTGTCCACAGCATATTCCTTTACAGCTAATTACACATACAGTATATTTAGGCTGTAACTGAGTACATAGGAGATGTTTTATTATTATTTACTTTTTTAGTTGCTTTTAAGTGTTTTTTAGAACATGCTTAAATAATTAATGAGAACATGACGGATATATTTCTCTGTCTGCCCAGATGGTTTAATGCACTTATGGGGCATCTTCCTACATTGTGACTTTGTGAACGAGTAAATAAAGAGAAGGTGCAAAGGAGTGATGGCAGAAAGGTGCAATCGATTCCTGCCAGGGGAAAAGCAGAAGGAAAGACAGTGCCTCGAGTGTTTCAGACTGTATCACTAACTCCCCCTTGCCTTGTCCCCCTCCACCCCAGCAGGCTCTTGCAATAACAGTGCTGTCAGATTAGGAGGAGCTGATGTAAGTTGGCATCAGGAGGCTTTCTGTTTTCTGCCTGAATAACAACAGTTTGGAACGTCTCGCCTGCGTAAATCATTGATATTTTGGTGGGAAAACAATTTTTCCTTTTCCCGAGTAGATAGGTCAGGTTTTTATTTTTTTAAGGGAGTGGGTTGGGGGGTGTATGTCAGTATGATGCTCCAATGAGCTGATTCTTTGTGCATGAAATGATTTGACATCCTCGCGACCACCGGAGCCCGAAAGCACATCTCACTGTGTGTGCATGTGCGCGATTGTCCAAAGAGGGAGTGAGAGAGGAACAGGGAGGAAAAAGAGCGCGCCAGAGAGAGATAGAATAAGCAACTTTGTTTGCAGGCGCAGCCGTGTCTCCTCCAGCGCAGCGTGTTGAAAGAGAAGCATTTGGCAGTTATGGTTGATCAGCGTTTCTTTCATCCTCTCTCAGCGACGACGAATGGCGTTAGAACAGATCCTGCTTTTTGAAGGATATTTCCGAGTCCAGTTTGAAAGGATTAACCATAGAAAGGATGCCTGAGCACTTGAAGACCCAACAGCTTCATCAATGTGCATGAGGTATGTATTACCCGGCAGGAATGAGTGTAATTACATGTAGGCCGTCTTATTCCTGATGATACTTGAGTAAAACTAATGCAAAATTGCAACAAACCTTCTGTAATCTGTTTAATTAAATTCTCAGCAAGCAAATGCAATATGGCGCCCCATCACAATGGGTTTTAAGCATTGATTTTAAGAGTAAATCTCATCGTGCTTTTTGTATTTTAAATTGCTTGCAGGAGTTCCCAGTTTTCTCACTTACTGGTCCAGATGACACGATTTAACCTTTTTTGTTGCTACCCTGTTTTGTCTGAGATATTTCCAATCAGCAGCCACACAGGCTGAAGTTACTTATGAGTTGCAGCAAATGCAGCCCAAGCTTCTTGAGTTGAAGTTGCTGTCACTGCAACCTGTCCGATTTACATCACAATGTGTGTCTTTTATTTTAGATGACGTTGAGGATACCTTAGCAGGACTTGGAGCTTGGCCATCATTTGCGGGAAAATGCAGCTTTGGATTCCGTATGTTTTGCTAAGTGCAACATCAGTCTGCACTGTTGAGATGGCTGGCAATTATGGTGAAATGTGTCAAGACCTGTGTGCCTGTGAGGAGAGAGAAGGGATACTTACAGTGAGCTGCGAAAACAGAAGAATTGTAACCCTGTCAGGCATAAGTCCAGTGCATTCATCCCAGTATCACCTGCTCCTCAATGGGAATCTGTTGAAAAAGCTATCTGTCGACGATTTTGTTGAGTACAAAGGACTGACAATCTTACATCTTGGGAATAATGAAATATCTGAAGTTCAAGCAGGAGCTTTTAATGGACTCCAGGGATTAAAACGATTACATCTGAACAATAACAGAATCGATGCCCTAAAGGAAGAGTTTTTCCTGGGTCTGGAAAGTTTGGAATATTTACAAATTGATTACAATTACATCAGTCATGTGGAGCCGAATGCCTTCAGCAGACTTCAACATCTGGAGGTCTTGATTCTAAATGACAATTTAATCTCAAGTCTGCCTGTAAACATCTTTCAGAATGTTCCATTGACTCATTTAGACCTGAGGGGGAATCAGCTCAAAGTGCTTCCCTACACTGGTCTGCTGGAGCACATGAACAGCGTAGTGGAGTTACAGCTGGAGGAGAATCCGTGGAACTGCTCCTGTGAGCTAATTGCTCTCAAAACCTGGCTTGAAAGTATTTCATACACAGCCTTGGTTGGAGATGTTGTTTGCGAGTTCCCCTTTCGGCTTCACGGGAGAGACCTCGATGAAGTTTCAAAACAAGAGTTGTGCCCGAGGAGAGCCATCGCTGAATATGAAATGCCGCCTCCGCCGCATTTGAGCACTGATGCATACCGTAGGACCACGCCAGCTCTAGTTGCAGCCTCCTTCACCTCATCTGGAATTGCAAGATCCTCATCAAGACCCACTAAGGGACCTCGGCAATCTGCCAAATTAAAATCAAGACCCACTGCCCGTGTCCCATCCAATAAGCCACAAAATTATGGTCAAATTGTTTCATTTCAGACCAAGTCTCCTGTGCCTTTAGATTGCCCAACTGCCTGCACCTGTAATCTGCAAATTTCAGACCTTGGCTTGAATGTGAACTGCCAGGAGAGAAAGATTGAACAAATCTCTGATTTAAACCCAATACCATACAATCCCAAAAAGATGTATCTCACAGGGAATTACATCTCGGTGGTCCATCGATCAGATTTTACCGAAGCAACGGGGTTAGACTTGCTTCATCTTGGTAACAATCGAATTACTGATGTAGATGATAGAGCGTTTGGCGATTTAACAAATCTTAGAAGACTATACCTTAATGGAAATTTGATAGAACATCTACCAGCTGATATATTTTATGGACTAGATAGCCTACAGTTCTTATATTTAGAGTACAACATCATCAAAGAGGTTACTGCCCATACTTTCCAGCATGTACCTAAACTTCAGCTTCTGTTTTTAAACAATAACCTCTTGAAAACATTGCCAGAGGGTACATTTAATGGCTTGACATTAGCTAGACTGAATCTTCGCAACAATCATCTGCGATATCTGCCAGTGAGGGGTGTATTAGATCAACTTACAACACTCGTACAAGTCGATTTGTATGAGAATCCCTGGGATTGCTCTTGCAGTATTCTAGACTTGAAGATGTGGTTAGAGCAGCTTAGCACAGGCACAGTTGTAAACAATGTCATCTGTGGCTCCCCGAAGAAACTGGCTGGGGAAGATATGAGATATATTAAGACAACTAATTTCTGCCCTAATAACTCTGAAGTGCTTGCTTCCATGATTCCACCCTCGGAAGAATCTTTTCCGGGCAGCACCATCACCATAGAAATGTCCTTGGACTCTGACGCGCAATACAGCACCATTCCTTTATCTGTGATGATACTGGCCCTGCTGCTCATCTTTATTTTGTCTGCGTTTGTGGCTGCCGGATTGTTTGTGGCGATGAGAAAGAGACGTCAGAAGAGCCAAAACGAGCAGAATAACTCCATGAACGCTTGCATTAGCTCTCTAAATATGGAGTATGGACTTTACAAAAAGGGATCCATTCCCAAAGTCAGAACATCTGCTGGACACGTTTATGAGTACATCCCGCCACCCACAGAGACCACATGCAGTACTGCTGCACACACCGCTATGGACAACAAATCAGTTGATGGTTTTAGAGACTTCGACGAGCTAAGTGGAGCTTTTCTGGGTAACTCAGACGAGGAGGCAGCCAGTAATGTGATCAGCTCAGAATACAGCACCACAACTTCAGAACCTCTCAACAAGCCCTCAACCCCTTACCAAGATGATCCACGCTACTACAGAGATGTACTTGAACCTGACAAGAACAGACGCTACAGCAATACATTACCTTGCAGGCACGGAGCCCATTCATCAACTCAGTATACCTCAGACTTTGATGCAAGGCATCAGTACATGCACCCAGAGAGAATACAGCAAACAATACTGTATTGTACAGCGCCAAATTCTGTTTATGTGGAGCCCAACAGGAGCGAGTACTGGGAATTGAAAGCAAAGCTCCACATCGATCCAGACTACCTTGAGGTTCTGGAAAAACGAACTACGTTCACGCAGTTTTAAGAGACTTGTCCTCCAGATGGTCCGAGTGGATTAATGTGCATTATTGATTCATTTTACTCATGAATCACAAAATGTTGTGCACTCCTGAGAATCATGATTTACAAAGTGACTGATAAAGGGACGGCATTACTCATTGTAAAGTGGCACCTAACACTGTTTTGCTGCGTGGTTTGACAGTTTATGTGCAAATGTGAAGCAGAAACAACAGAATCTGGGCTCTAATGACTCATCCAATCATCAAAGTTATCCCGGAGCTGTATCAATGAAGATAATGTGAGACGAAGCTGTACTTACATTAGCTCCATCTTAAAAGTTTTAATGGGCCATGACGACGATACGCACTTGCTCCAAAATGTACCTGTTCTATTTAACAGAAATACATGCAAAGCTGCCATTTATGCCATGGGGGGAGGGGCGACTTGTTTTGAACTTACCCTTTAGGCGCAAACTGTTAAGTTTGTTGGGTGCATTAACATCTCTGGGGTAATAAAATCACAAATGACAGATTATGAGCGAAGGAAATGTTTCTTCTCTTGTAGATTTGGAAGAAACCATCATGAAAATGTGGCTGTATTACCCTAATGCATAAACGCTGGAAAATCAATGGCAATACCTTTAAAACCTCCTCATTTGTAAGCCAGCAGTTTTGAATTATGTTGGTTAAAAAGTATTACATTAGAAATAACCAATCAGTGTTTAAAAGCTTATTTTATTTGTAGTTCTCATCCATGTACAAATGTAGTTTTTGATATTTTACACAAACTACATTTTCAATATATTCTTGTACCTACACCAAAGTTGTTGGAAAAAAAACAACATATTTAAAAAGGAATATGCAAACTTTGATTCCCAGTGGGAAACAACAAAATACAACTTATTCTAATTTTATACGACTTGGTTTTTTTTTAATCACATATATCAGATTGCTGTTATAGCTGCTTTCCTGTTAAAATAAATCTAAGTTTTACTACAGTAACAGTCCCAGTCTCGCAAGATTCACCAAAGCGTGTAACAAACCTGCTGGCTAAAGCCAAGATACCATGTCAGTGTCAAGCTGCTCTTTGATAAAGCTGCAGAGTTTACAGCTTGCCCAGTCTTATCACAAAAGACAAAAGAGTTATGGTAGTAGACGAATGATAAAAATAAATGACACAAGCTACTCGTTCACCAAATCTTGCATTTAAGCAAATCATGAAAATCAAATTGTAAAAGCCGAAGCTAAAGATAATAGATGTACAGTAGTTATTCATAGCTAAATAAATAAAATAATAGTTTCATGTGGACCTAAAATGCCAGCCTTTTTCTAAAATGTCTTGTGTTTATTTCATTTATCCCTTTATTCCCCAAATATGAAGTGATGCTTGTTTGTTTAACCTGTTTTTACTCTGAAAAGCTAAGAAGGTAGAGTTTGTCTCGAGATTTTAATACTTTGACTGAACAAACGAATTTCCAAGACATTTAAACATGTGCTGGATTAAAGTTGAGAAGTGCATTAAAAATATATCCTGAACCTGATTATGTAGTTTTGGTTCCTCAACCTAACCAAGTACTTTTAGCACTCAGTCAGAATATTGTCTTTTATGTGCCCACTTTAATATTTTATGAATTGCTGTAAGGTGGAAAATCTAACTCAAGTCTCGTGTTTTCAGGTCCTTTGGGTTTTTTTGTGTTTTGTTTTTACACTCTTTATTTTACCTTATGAGCAAAATCTTGTTTAAATTCAAGTTAAAGACTTCTGGCTAAAATTGGCTTCTTCTGCGATTTAAAAATGTTGACGTTTAGGTATTTGAAGCAAATTTTGTGCTTAACCCCGAAGCTTTGACCCAAGATTATTAACTGGATTTAGTGATGGTGGATTATTGGCTTTTCATGTGTTGTTTTTATGAGGCATTGCAAAAGATGACGGTAGTAGGTTTAATACAGGTGAGTCTGTTTCATGATTTAAGGTAAATTTTCATTGTTTTCATTTAAATTCAGAAAAGATCCCCCCCATCATTCATTGAAATCTAACCTAAGACAGCCTATTTTTGCACAAATAATAAATTTGGACTTTTCTTTTATATTTTTTTGTCTGTTTCCAATTAAAAAATGCACTAATGACTGCTGGTCAACAATGATGTCACTTAAATGCACAAAATTGTAACATGCACGTAGCCATAGAATGGTTTAATAAACCCATACAGAACGGTTACATGTGCACTATGCATCGGTGTAGATCTTTCTGAGACAATCGGTACAAAAATGCTATTTTGTTTTTAGCTTGCTACCTTTAACTGCTGAGAACTGACAGTCAACAATGCACATATTCAAACTGAGATGCTCTGTAAACACATTTAGAGTGTTTAACTTGACCTAAATCTTCCTATGCTTTCAATTAAAAGGGTTTTTAGAGGAATATGCATGAGACTTCTTTGTTCTGTGCAAACCATCTTGTTGCTTTTGATTTTTCTCTCATATGTTTTGGTTTGAATTGTAAGAAATGAAGCTGCAACGTGTGTAAAATGATCAGCTTATAGCAATTCGAGGGAAAATCCCATCAAACAACTGCCGTTGGTGAAAGGACATATCTTCTAATCTGGGCTGAGTTCTTGAATAATCGTGCAACTTTGTCTGGAAAATAATCCCACACAGATATTCAAGACTCTGGACCTTGCCAACATGTCATCAGGCTTTATATTCCAGCATTAGTCATGTGCTTTTAACTCCAGATGAAGTCTTGTTGCCTTCCACATGCGCAAAATCATTTTGTAACGACTCCACTTGTTTCTGCTGTTTGGAAATGCATCGGAGCAAATTAGCTAAAGCTTTCAGGGTGATGCATGATGTGGACGTGCACAGTCTCGTTAGCAATCGGTCCACTGCTGTGAAGTTAGTGGCAAAATGACCCAACAGGCATAAACGCACCATGTTTTGTTGTTGTGGAGAGCGGCTGGTCATTTGGTTGATTGTATGTTTTAAAATGTGTCTTTTTATTGTGTTACTTTTCAAATTTTAAAGTTTTTTTTTTTTAAGTATATAACAAAAATATTGAGATTATTTTAAGAGCTTGAGTTTTTTTATTTTTTAAATGCATTCTTCCTTGTATATAACAAAAATGGTTTATTTGTTTCATCCACACATTTGTCATTATTGACCAAACACTGCTTTTCTATTATTTATTCATTTTGTCACAGCTGAAACTATGAATTATGATAATTCAAAAACATGTCCAATTGAAAATGCGCTATTTGAATCTGTGTGTTTGTTTAGTAAACAAGGACGAGGTGAGTCCATTTCTTGTTGTTTTGATGACAACTTTGATGATTTCCGTTGTTCGCTTGGCTCAGTTTTCATATAAAAACGGTGATTTCTTTCTGTATCAGCCTCTGATTTGTAAATAGAACAAACACTTTATCAGCAGCTTCATGCAAACTTGCACCATCTTCGAAAAGCAAAAACTTGGTCTTGTATCGCAAAAATATACAACTAGGAGTATGTGGGATAAATATATCTACAGTGTGCTGTTTTCTTTAGTCGTTAGGTGATGAATAAAAGATATGCATTCATTTGATTTGCTGTTGTGTTTGTCTTCCTTCCCTGTTGTGTGCAGAATGCAGGGGTGCACAAAGAGGACAGATTTTAATTTTTGAATAAACCCACCGGCTTAATTAAAAAAAAAAAAAAAAAAAAAATCTGAAGATCAGTTTTTATCTAATATTAAAGGCAGTGCTTTTTTCAGTTGGACAAATAAAGAACTAACGAAGAAGGCTTTGATAGATAAAAACACCAAGTAAGAACTTGAAGGATGATTTTTGCCTCAGTCATATTAGAGAAATTCTTATCTGTGACACTTCGCTCCCCGAGGAGTTTACAGGAAAAGAGACGCTTATCTTATGCTTTAGATCACACCAGACAGGCTGTAGGTATTACTCAGTTTCTCTTTCTGCATTTATTTATTTATTTATTTATTTATTGCACCTAGATTTTGATCGCGCGCCAAACAAGAACAATAATAAAGGCTTAGCATTATTTGTGGCAGTTCTGCCCGTTTTCAGGCTAAAGTTTTAAACTAAACTGATCATTCTGTTGAAAATTGATGAGTTAGGACTACTTTTAGTGAAATATTGAAAATATTGTTACACCTGATCTGTTTACACTTAGAACATGTATTAGAGATTACTCTCTGCTATCACCACGCCAATCTTCATCTCTGTATCTGTAAAACTGACTGATTTGAAGCCATTTTTGTGTTTACTAACATCAATTTGCTATGGCGACCATCATAATTTCAATCGACTCCAAAAGTTCACTAATTGTGAGTGTATATCCAGTGACTAATTCCTTGGAGTTTCATTAAAATCCATCCAGCGGTTCATGAGATATTTTGCTAACAGACAGACAGAAACACACGCACTGATAGAGGTATATATTGGATTGCCCAGTTTCTATGCCAGCAGGTGATAGAAAATAATGTGGCATATTGAAAATGTATTACCATTGCAAAATTAGTTTTTGTGTTGTAATGAAGGCTTAGAGTGCAGCTCTATATACGTGGACAGAAAAGAAGAAGAAAAACCTCAGTTCAAATCGTCTCTAGAATATCACAGTCCCGTGTTTTTCTAAAGTGCTGCAGCTCTGTAGTGTGATATATTCAGAGCTGAGACGAGACAACATATGACCATTGGAGCTGTGCAGGATGAAGACATCTGCCTGAGACTGCTTGTAGACACTTACAGAGAAACAACATTTGCCTTTTTTTATTGCAGAAATAGCTTTTTGGATTGCTGGTCTCCATGGAAACATCCAATTACCTGACACACTCTCAAACACACACAAAAAGTACTTTTCTAGTGCGAAAAGTACAACGTCAGCACGGAGTTTAAAATATACGTCTTTCCATGATTTAGTGAAATCATCCCTAAATTGTACAGTGTGCAACAGATAAAGCATGACATAAAAGGAATTAATTTCATTTTGCATCTGAAAATAAATGTTTTTATTAGTACTTCTGTCCACCTTTG